ACTTCATACGCTTTGCAAAGTAATGTAGCATCACTGCATCTTAGCTTTCTTCTTCTGCTTAAGCCAATATTCCAGTTCACTCCCCTTAAAGACTTCCCAGGAAAATACGGACCAATCACCAGGGCTGAATATTTTATCAATGAGTTTTCTTAAATACTGTCGGCCAAATCTGGGTGTAAGTCCTGTCATTTCCACTGAATATTCAACTGGCCCAGCAGTATTAATCTGAAAGAACAGCTGGACTATGTGTCCTCTTTGCTCCATTATTTACCTGGAATCTGGGATTATTTCACATCAACTCACAGCTGTTGGCCATGAAGTCCTGTGAAAGAGCAAAGGCAGCATCCAGAACCACCCCTGACAGCATCTAACTACTGACATCTCTGCCCAGAGAGCTCCCTGCGGCTCAAAAGTCACCTGTGGGCCACAATAAACACAAGGCACAACGTGGCGGAGAAGACTAAGCTGGAAATTAGCCCACAGAAAATCCACCAGAATATGCATAAGGGCCAGACAATTTGAGGCCTCTCAGAAGCAAATACAAAGGGCATGGTCAGAAACACACGCTCAAATTTGGGTTCTGCAGAAGAAACCCCTTTTGTACCGACTCCCACCTCTGAGGAGCTCTGGGGTTTGAGGCTGGAGCTGAAGGCAATAACCAGATGTCTCCAATTCCTCTGAGTGACAGAAGGCAAAATGCTGCCGGTTGGTTAGTTAGGGAGATACTGTTGTTGTGGGCAAACCTGGAGCACTTGTCACGGAGAAAACACACTGCAGTCCTCGCAGTCCCTAGCCCGGCAGCAAGCTGCAGAAGCAGACGCAGCACAAGCAAACTGATAAAAGGTCAGTCACAAATGATTCAATAGCTTAGATACTAGCTTCTGAGGAGGAGGGCAGTTTGAGTTTCTTGACTCAAAGGGCTGGGATGGTGCTGAAGGCTGGGAAGGGTGCCTCCAAGCTTTCTTCTGGTGGGGAGTGAGAAGGTGGGCAGGAGGAAGAATCTGAGCGCTCAAGCATCCCTGCACCTTTTCCTTCATCCCACAGACAGAGTTCCGTTACGTTGCATGTCCAAACACAAATCTGTAATTTGTCCAAGAAAAAAACATTTTTAGAAGGGCTAACTATTAAGCGCTAGATGCCGAGCAAATAAACAGGAGGAAATGCATATGCATCAGAGGAAATAATGACAGGCTGTAGCTATTGAAAACCAGTGGGAAGGGAAATATAGCTGGAACATTACTGCTGTAACAACTTGCTCTGAAAGGGCATCATGAAGGGGGGGGAGGAGGAGGAAGGATGTGTTACTTTACATTAGAGATGCTCATGGGATTACAGATGACTCAATCACAGACCTCGAACGCTTACAGATTATACCTGTAGTTCAACTGAAGATGGAGTTACTGCAACATCTCTTACAGGCCCTGAAATCCTAATACTAGAGTGAGCCGATAACTGCATCTGTTCTTCATGTGTGCAAAGAAAAACAGGCTAATCACAGATGCACACAGCCTGGAGGATGTTTGCTGAAAACCTCATCTGACTAAAGAAAAAAATTCCCTGGTGTCCTAAAAAGATGACGATTTCTTAAAATAGAAAATTCTAAAACCCTACATGGAATATCTCATGTTGAATCTCATTTTAATGAGTGAAGAGAGTTAAATCATCAACTAAGAGCTACAAGCAACTTAAGTATCAATGATCATGATCCAGTCACACTGACTTTGTTTTAAAATCAGTATATACATTATTGCCTGCTGTTTATAGTCTGTTTGCACAATTGCTGGCATATGGGTCTAGAAAGAGAAGAGTGAGAGGCGTGAAACAAAACAGAGAATTGTTTAAAAAGAACCTGCTGCACGCCAAAAGGCTTTTCCAAAACTGCAAGAGAGAGTTACGCTTGTGAAAAAAAACCATCCCAGAGAAGATAAAGAGCAGAAACTTCAGAAAGACATGCAGATTTATAAAGAATGGAGAGAGCAGAAAAAATAGTGTAAACAAATGAAGAAGCATAGGCAACCTCTAAAGAAGCAGAGGAGCCGATACAACACTGAGGACTACTAATGGTGTTTAAGACAGTAAAAAGGCACTTCTGAAAGCACCCACGCAGATCAAGTCTGTTGTTTGGTGCAGACAGTAGGATGAAAAATGATGACACGGGAAAATAAGGATATTTAAAGAACAGCATTACGTGAAATTATCAGGACATATAGTTTGTTGGATTACAAATGGTTCTTTAAAAGATTTCAATACACAGTTGTTAACAGAAAGACATAAGCAGATTAGGTCACTAGTGGCCATTTCCAAATTCCAGAGATGGTGTCTTCTTCTAATACAATTTCATCAGTCTGTCATTTGGGAGTGAGGCAACACGAAACTTCTGCAGTTAAAGCTTGCACATTCAAAAAAGACCAATATAGTGCCAAATAATGAAAAGGGAAGGTTATTCTTATGGAGCATAGTTAAAGTCACAATAGCATCTTTTGCAATGCAACTAAATGCAAGGTAGTAAACCTAGCAAAGACCAGTTTGCAGGCTTAAAGCAGTAGACATGCTTTGAAGACCGTGACTTAAGGACTTAGAGCTGGAACAAATTGCTAGAGTTCATTTATGTCTTCTGTAATCATCACAGATAGCTGCTTCAAAATGGGTACTCAAAGAAAGATACAGGAAAAAATAATCCTATCAAGGCTTCTGCCAAAACCCTGTGCTCAGCCCTGCTAGCCACACTTCAAGAAGGAAGTGGAAATACTAGAGGGAGCTCAAAGGAAGGCCAAAGAATTGACCCCTGGGCAGGGCAAAGCAAAACAAAGCAAATCTTACATGTGAGGCTGACAGAGTTCACCCAGCTCAGTGAGAAGGTTGAGAGCTGTCATGATGACTATTTAGGGCCACATTTCAAACTCGCAGATAAGTTAAGAGCTGACAGTAGGAATTTCAACCTTCATTTCCCAGCAAAATTTCCCAGCAGTGTTAGTAAATGAACTATAGGACAGTTTACCAGGACAGATGGTCAACTCATTAATGCCCGAAGTTTTCAAAATGAGATTACACATGTTTAAAGAAGACATGCCCAAAACAGCTTCTAGGGGAAAAAAAAAATCTATGGCTCAATCATGCAAAATGTCAGGTCAGAGGAGTATAATGACTCCTGACTGGTCTTCAAGTCTATGAATTGGAGTACTTAACCATAAAAAATGAGAAGAATCAAATGTCTCCTTTGAGACATGTTGTGGCAAACAGCAACTTGTAAGAGCCCCTCCAGTATTCAAAACTATCCAGATACACACAAACCTTTCCAACGTGTCAGAGCCACTCGCGCTCAGCTCTAATTCAATAGCTGTTTACATTTGTTAAATAAACATACAAAAGACTAGGTGTCAACCTGGAGCTGAAGGCATGGTTTTCATTTCAGCAGTCACTGAAGAATCCCCTGGTCAATCCTTTCCAAAGCAGAGCTCTGACATTAGGCTAGACAAATGCCAGTGACGTTCACGTGGAAGTGGGACATGAAATCCACTTGCTTTGTTGCTCTATGGGAAGCCTCCTTTTTATAATGTGATATCCTATGCTATTGTGTCCATCATTCCTAACCACATGTGAACTAGAATAAGGTATTCAAAAACAGCACCTCCTTCTACGCATGTAAATGGGAAAGCAATTTTGGAATGAGAAAAGAAAAAAAATATCAAAGCAGACATTCCCTAGGTGAGCAGGAAAAAAACTCCCTTGTCATTCTCCAACAGTAATCAATCTTAAGTGCATGCTTTTTTATTTCCAGAGGAATGAAGGATTCTGGTGCTTTATCATCATTTTACTTACTTTAGCCCAGGAAGTGTCTGATCTGCTTTAAAAACTGTGGATCAATTCTATATTAAAACACTATCACTCTGCCTACTCCTTCAAAGTGCTATAAAATATGCTGAAGGGAACACTGGCATGCTCCCCAGGTACCATGGCTCAAACAAAAGCTGCAACAGAGGAGTCTTTTTAGAAAAAGCAACTACCACCTTCCCACACACTCCTCCTCAAGCACCGAGCAGTCCCTATGACGTACCTCTTTTTCCTTTTCTGATTTTAGTCACAAATATAAACCAAAAATACGTCACAGACTGCATGCTAAAGGTTAAGAAATTACTGGTGGGGTTGACAAAACAGAAGGTAAGATGCCCTATCTTGAAGAACAACATTTTATGTTTTGTTTAGGTTTGTCCTCGCACATGAATGTAATACTTACAGGCTGTCACTTAAATTAAGCCCAGAACCTAGAGTCAGGTCCACTAGCACGCAAGCTTCTCTTCTTCCTCACCGATGCAGAGCTAATGGCTACACTGGAGCCTATGTTTTTAATCAACAGTTTACTCCTACATTTTTCTCTAGATAGGAAATACTCGTAACCAACCTATTTCACCCACTGTGTATTTTTTAAGCACTGTGAAACATGCTGTTCAAACCGCAGTGTTAAAGGGTCAGATTACCCTCACCTAGAATCTATTCAGTAAATTCCACCAAAAGCCAAAACACCATTTTACAAAAGCAAACAAGTCAAAAAAAAGAAAAGAAAAAAAAAAAAAGTACTCAAAGCAAAAAGAATCTCAAATCCAAGTTGTTTGAATAGTGGTTTAACTCAGGTATTGTAACAAAGCATCTCAACAAAACCCACAAGATTTCTATTCACAGCCCTTTTCATTTGAAGAGCTTGAAACAAAGTTCTCACCACCTCTAAAGCTTACTTCCACCAATTATATTATTGTACACAAGCGAAGGACATAACCCTAAATTTTAGCAAGCTTTCTGGTATGCTTCAAAAATGTGTGCAACATGAGACTTTAGAAGAATACCGATGTTTGTTACCAGCAAGGAAAAAACAAACCAAAACAAAACCAAAAAACCCCAGACCCTGCTGCTGTTTATTGACGAAACACAGTTTCCCGCAACCCAATTTTACATCAAGTCCATGAGAACAGCACATCAGTTTTTTTCTAAAGCACAAATATACTTACGAAAGGACATTCCCAATGTAGGCATAATATGAACAGCAGTAGGGAGTAGTCCCATCACAGCAGTAAGCTTTGCAGTCATTATCACACTGAGCCAGACAATCTTCTGCTGAATAAAAATAACATTCATGCGGTCAAATGGTAGCAACAACAAACTGCTGTACAGCACAGCTTTAAAGAAAATGCAATCTAACAGTTTTATACAATCACAGGACTTCACTCGAGGCGCAACCTGACCTTGTAATCCAAATGGCAGCCCATTCCCACTCATTCTGCATTTCAGTAGGAAGTTCAGAGTTAGGTGCTTTGTGTATGGGTATTTTGTAGTCGGCCTTATCAGTTCCTTCTCATATATAACCATTTAAAATAAAAAAGAGCATTTTGAAACGCCAAGACACCATGGATCACCTTTTTCCATTCCAGCAAGCAGTCCAGAGAGAAACCTGAGGTCGGGCTGCCTGTCTCGCTGAGCTGCAGCAGAGGAGAAGGAAGCTGTCTGGGAACTAGCTACCTCCCCCAGTGCCTGCCCAGCCCCGGGTGTAAATTAGAGCTGCCTGGGGCGCTCTCATCCCCTGCCAGCTGGCAGCGGCACCCCTTGCTCCGCTCCAGCTCTAGGGCCATGGCCACCATGGCACGGCACCGCATGGGGGCCAGCGGTGCCCTCTCTGCCCCATTGCCGCGCCACAGACTGTCCTGCCGAGCCGGGGCCACAAACATTTCCAGCAGCGATGCTCTGCTGGACTGAGGAACAATGCAAATTGTGAAACAACAGTAAGAGAGCTCTTTGCAATTAAGAAACATGGAAGAACACGCATCCTTCTATTGCCGTGACAAGCTATTTTAAAGCTATCGACCTCTTGTCTCTGGGTACTGCTACTGCACTGTAAAAGTGTCCTCACGAGTCCCACTCTTCCGAATCTCATCCCAGTCTCTCCCCCACTGCAAAGACCTCAGCTGCAGCCTGGATGAATCCAGACTCCCTGCCCTGCACACTGTCACCCTTGATGACCTCTTCAGTCATGCAAACGCACGCTGCCACAGTGGAGACCTGAAAGCAAAGATGATAAAGTATGCTTCTGCATTCCGGATACGCTGTGGCTCTTGTTCCTCAGGCAGCAGATCACGCTAAGGGGTTCCCGCTCTCCCCGTAAGTTTTACTCCCATTCCTGTTACTGCTTTTCATCCATGCCGGCCCAGCTTTCGGTGTGCCGGGATCCAGGTAACCCTACCTCATCTCAGCTGCTGCCATGCTCCCATTCCTGCCCCACCTCTGGCTGCAAACTCCCACCTCGCACCGAGGCTCCTTGGCATGCTGACTGCGTAGTGAATGGCTCATGCTGCTGATCCATCCCAAAACCCAGCACCTTAATCTTGCTCTAGAGATTGTAGCAGGTCAGTCCTCTGAACCTGCTCATGCTTGGTCCCCGCTTGAAAACAAGTGCCAGCTGAGAGTGAGGGCCGGAGAGGGCTGTGCGACGCAGCACGCGTCAGCTCATGCGGCTGAGCCTTAAACCTGTATAATTACCCCTGTATTAAAGAAATGCACATGCACAAAAAAGTGGAACAACTGACCCGTCAGTCTGAAGACCAGCCACCCCAACAACTGAATTGGTGCAGCCGGAGGGACGGCAGTCTCCAGAAGGAGAGGGGAGGCCAGCAACTGGCACAGGCCCTGCTGTGAAGGAGCAGCAACGGGGGGCCCCCGCCGTGCCCGCATGCGGGACCCCCCATGCCAAGGCTTTTGCACTGTTACCCTTGCAGGACTCCCCATGCCAGCAGCTTCAGGCTTTTGCACTGTTACTCATTTTTTGGCACGAGCACTTGTGTCTCCGGCTATGTCCCTAACGCGCCCGGCAAGCACAGCTACTCGACCAGAAGCGACCGCAGCAGCCGCTTGTGGCTCGCACTCCCACTCGCTCACCAAACCCGGCGGTACCGAGGGGTGCCCTTGCCCTGCCCAGAGGTGGGGGGCCGGGACACCTCACGGCATCTCTCCCGAAGGGCGTGGATTTAACCTCCCTGCCGCCCGAGAGGGACTCGCACACAGCACACGCTGCCCGAGAGAGGTCTGCTGAGACACCCCGGAGAGCCTATGCCAACTCCGGCTGCCAATTCAATCACCGAC